GAGTTACCACCATAATGAGTAGATCACTTCTTTGGAGTTTACCAGGAGACTGGAAAGCAAAGAGGAAAAGTTATGCAACGCAATGCACCTAGGGAGAGCTAACATCGCAGTTCCCTTCCAATGCACATGTCTTTTGCTACTGCAAAGAATGCCTCCCATTTCACATGGTTTTCAAAATGATTGCTTCCTCCTTATCCAGAATTCAAGGGAAATCAAAGCAATTCTATCTGGAAACTTCTGACTTTGGAATATTTAGTACTCAAAGCTTTCCAACATTAGCCATGAAAGCTTTCATAGAAGTCATTTGTAACTTATTTTATGACTTAAAAATTTACATGAATAAGTTAAAATGAGATAAATACTTAAAGAAAATCTCCTTAGCTTAAATATATGTATATTTGGAAACAGAGCAAACCATCAGGCTGAGTACTCCTTGGGAGCTGCTCATGACCACTTCTGAGCTTGTCCATTCACCCACATAGTAATTCCTATCAAGGGTTACACTTGTTAATCTTTGAAGGATGCAGTTAAAAGAAAAAAAAAAAAAAAAAAAAAAAACAGGAGGAAGGAAGGGGAATTGAAGTCAGTTTAGGGTGTATCTCAGTGAAAAGAGATCATGGATCAATAAGTTGAGAAGGCAACAGGATCAAATATATTTGGTCCTATTAATTTCTTAGAGAAAGTAAAACACTGCTTTACAAAGCAAGTGAAACATATCTGTCCCACACTCCTATAGTTAAATGCCTTGAAATAGCTATTAGTTTCTATTATGTTTTAAAGGTGAACAATCTCAAATCGTAATCTATAACAGCATTATGTACAAGAAGTATCAACTCCAGTAGCTTACTTCTATTAATGTTTTATTCACTTTTTTTGAGATTGCTAATGTGTACATTGTGATCGAGAACGTGAATTGTCTAAGCAATTATAATCCAAATGAAGAGTGGAAGGGCTGGCCCCGTGGCTTAGCAGTTAAGTGCACGCGCTCCGCTACTGGCGGCCCGGGTTCGGATCCTGGGAGCGGACCGACGCACTGCTTGTCCAGCCATGCTGAGGCCGCGTCCCACATACAGCAACTAGAAGGATGTGCAACTATGACATACAACTATCTACTGGGCTTTGGGGAAAAAAAAAAAGGAGGAGGATTGGCAATAGGTGTTAGCTCAGAGCCGGTTTTCCTCAGCAAAAAGAGGAGGATTAGCATGGATGTTAGCTCAGGGCTGATCTTCCTCACAAAAAAAAAAAAAAAAAAAAAGAGTGGAAGAATGAGAAAAGAGGCAATATTTGAAATGCGTTAAGATAATCTACTGGTAAAGGAGTAACATTTGGAAAAGTGAGGACATATTTTGAACCAACAGTGCAGAAACAATTTTCCTAAAGGCACTCTTTTTGAAGAATGTCTACTATACTGTTCTGCACATCCTTCCCTGCAATTCTAGCTGTCAACCTCCTTTCTCTGAAGTTTCTAGTTCAAGTACTACTTGTTTTCATTGTCTTTCCAATCAGTACAGCCGTTCTATGTACTGTACCTCATCCCTCAAGAGAGCTGTTCCTCTCTGTTTCATGTTTGTACTCCCCATGACTCGGCACACTATAGGTTCCTAATCATACTTCATAAGAACTGCACCAATACTCAATAAAGAAAAAGTAAGGAGTAATGCTGCACGCAAAAGAGGGACATTATTAAGCCAAGAGCATGAAAAAGTTCAAACAAATCCAATTAAGCAGCATTTATTAAGACTCTACGCATGAGCATGGCATAGAGATTCTTGATTAAAATAGATGTATGAATTGGATTTTACTTACATCACATGGACATGAAAAGCATACAATGAAATGGAGGTTTTGTGCCACCCAAGGAGCTGTGATTTTACATTTTGGTTCCACTTAGACTGTGAGTCACTCAGTGAGGAGAAAAGGCACATAAGTCAAGTGGAGAGCCCCATTCATCCTGGATATTTTATAGGACCCTCAGGACCTCTGCTCCGTTTATCTTCACTCCTTCCAGTAAGAGATGTAGTCCCTTAGGTCTGGGTAAATGATATGACCTCATTTCTTAGAATCTTTTACCTTGAATCACTGTCTTTTATTGTCACTGGGTCAGTTCTAGAGGACTCTCCTCTGATAACCTGTACTGGACAGTGACTCCCAAAACCTGGCCTTGAGTTGCAGCTCCACAGTTACTAGCTGAGTGACTTGATGAAGTTAATTCAATTTTCTTAGCCTAGGTTACTCTTCTTTAAAATAAGGCTAATAAGATATACCCCATCGGATAGAGGAAAGGATAAAGTACAAGTATATAAACTTTAAGAGTTATTTCTGAAGTAAAATGGAAAAATAAAGCATTTGTTTGTATAGTGTATCCTAACCACCCTTTTATTCTTTAGACAAGACAGATCACATCCTCATGACTTTAGGTGCAGCTGCCCTGGCCTGCTTGCCATCCTTCAGCCACCGCTGGGCTCCAATCTCAGGACGTCTGTTCTTGCTGTTCCTTATGTCTGAAGGGCTCTGGTCTGACCCATTTCACAAGGCTGCCTCCTTCACTTCCTCAAGGTCTGCGCTCATATTTTACTTAATCAGAGAGATCTCCTCAACCCCCTATATTGAACAATACTCCCCAATCATTTGCTATTCCTTCTACCGTGCTTTATTTTTCTTCAGAGCGTTTATCACTATCTACCTCTATCTCGATAAAATTTTTTTCTTTTTTTTGTGAGGAAGATCAGCTCTGAGCTAACATCCACGCCAATCCTCCTCTTTTTGCTGAGGAAGACTGGCCCTGGGCTAACATCCGTGCCCATCTTCCTCTACTTTATATGGGACACAGCCACAGCATGGCCTGACAAGCGGTGGTTCACGCCCGGGATCTGAACCTGGGCCGCCAGCAGTGGAGCAGGTGCACTTAACCACTACACCACAGGGCCAGCCCCCTCAATACAATTTATACTCCTTGAAAGTAGCGACTTTATTTATTGCTTTACCCCTAGTACCTGAATTAATGCCTGGTATATACAGACCTTCAAGAAGAAATACACATTGAATAAATACATGAATTAATGTTTCTTAACCTATTAGTAAAGGATATAAGCATTGTGAAGTATGACTTTGTGCAACTCCACAGCTTCTTAATTTATATAACTTAAGACAAGTTAAATAACACCTTCTAAGCCTCAAGTTACTTTTCTATAAAATCTAATATCACCTTAGGATTTTCCTACCTGGTTTTGCCCATGTTTGCCTATTTCTAATATATTTTTTATGCTTCAGCCAGAGTAATCTCTTCAAAATGCAAATATAATTAAGTCACTATTTTAAAAAGTCCCTTAATGACTTGCTGAAGATAAAGCAAGTTATTGCTTTAACGACATTCTTAAGACAAAGTTCAAAATTCTTAATTTGGTCTTGCCAGGTTTACAATCTGCGTGTCTTACAAATCTCCTCACATGCCATCTCTGTGTTTCAGTTCGATGGTCTTTGTTTTCACACCCCTAATAGTGCCATGGTCTATCTTGACTTAAAACTTGCATTTAACTTGCCCTCTACTCTTGCTCCCTCAATTTCTAATGTATAGTTCTTTATAGCTAATTCCTATTCATCCTTCAAGTCTCCGTTTAAATGCAAGTCTTCTATATGTCTGTCTGTTTGCCCATCGGTCTACCCATCCATCCCATGTTGAACTATAGGATATTGCCAATATTCAATCAGCTTTGCCCTATAAAAACATCCGTTTCCTATCACTTTACCTAGAATGTCTGTCTTTCTTTGCTATACTCTAAGCTCCACAAGGAAAGGACCATGTCTTTCTTATTTATTATTATATCCTCAAAGCTAAGTACAGTATCTGATGTTTAGTAAGTTTCCTATCAATATTCTTTGAATTCATGTGCTGTTACATGGCAGTAATTACTGTTATTGTGGAAATAGTATTTGTTGATTGTTTTACTGCCACCATAATTATTTTGTAAAACCAAATCTGTGACTATCTTAAAATCATGAATGAAGATGAATTATTTAGAAAGAGAAGACAGGAAAGATCAAGGAAGAGGAAAATGAGAAGTAGGAGTTCAAGGAAGAGGTAGGGAGGACAGATTTGAGAAAAGGTGAGGGTAGAAGAACGGGGACAAGAAAAAAATGAGGCGGGAAGGAGGAAGAGAGAAAAAGGAGAAGAAAAGGAAAGGATATAGAATTTTTACCTTCCACTAACTTGAATACTTTCATTTCTATCAGTTAAGGAATAAGGGAATTTCATTGTCTGTTATTTAGGCAGTCATCCTGTGCCATCACATTTTTAATACATATGCATTTATTCTTCTAGTCATTTTTCCTTGGTCCCAGTTTTGATCACCTACCTTTAAGTTTCAAGTACCTCTCATTTTCATGAATTTCTACCTCTTTCAATTGTAACTCTAATTCTACATGGTATATTGCTGTTTTGAAGATTTTGCTTATATTTAATCTATTGATATGTGACTTATTTATATGAATCTCAATATCTCATCCACGTCTCACATAATTATCAATTAAGCAAATAAGGCAGACTGTTTTGTATATAAAAGAAACAAAGTGTTGATTATTAATGACCATATCATAAGCAAGTCGAAAATACATATTGCAGTTTTGCAGAAGCATCATAAAAGGGCAAGAGAAACTATGTAATTATATTTCATGAGTATTATCAGAAATTGTAGCAGTTCCTGTGAAGAAAATATTTAAGGTCAATTATTCAAAATAAAATGAGTACAAAAAAATCATTTCAAATTATCTTGACAAAAAAGTAACTTATTATGAGTGTCATAATTAAAGCATAATTAATTTATATTTGTATGGCGTTGTTGAAGACTCTACATTCATTAAGGATTTTGTTTTGCATCCAAAGATACAGGAGGAATAAATAACGCCAAGGTTGGAGTTCATCAACTTTTTTTAAGGGGTGCTTTGAAACTGAAGTAACTAAGAAGATAGAAATCAGAGTAATAGTAATTAGGGAAAGATCTTACCATCTAGATCATTCTCTGGGGTCTCCGCTGTATACCAGTTGGAAGGTGGTCCAGTGCCATTGACTGTCGTAGCTGACACTTGGAAACTGTACTGACTTCCTTTCTCTAGTCCTGTGAAAGAATTTTCCACAGGGAAAAAAAAAGTTACTGAATAACATGTATTTCTAGCTGGTTTTCAAAGTTTTAGTAAAATTTCAACAATGGTAGACACGCTTTATATTGTTTGTGATTGTTGTGGTGATTATTGTTGTTTTGGCCAAAAAGGCAGGAATATTAAAGTGAGAAATCAGATTATTTTTCATATATCCTCATTTATTTTTTCCAATTTAAAAAAATGTATCCCTGAAAATAGCCTCAGGGCAGATGCAGAATATGAAACATGAACTATGAAGAAATAATAAAAAATAGCAAGGATCATTTTTCCACACAGTCCAGAAGAGGCCTGTCTATAAATCAAGAAAAGTCCTTCCAAAAATTTATGTCTTCATCATTCATTCAAGGTCAGTGATTATGTTTTCTTTGGGCCAAGAAAGAAGAATCCAAAGCCATTGCACTTCAGCAGAAAATACTAGGGCTTTTGTCTCTAAAAACTATCACAAGGCATACTTCATTTTATATCAGCTTCCATACGAGAGCATGAAGAAAGTCTACCTTTATGATAATTTGGACTTACCACATTGTACACAGTGATGACATTAGGGCTTATTTTAGAGGGCACAGAGAGTATAGGCAAACAAGAGAGGGCCCGTGGATCATTAGTGTGATATGTGTAAATTTTTTATGTAAATAATTTTCCTTTTAGCTAAATCTCAAAGTAGCTCATTAACATGACAAATTATTGTAAAACAAATGACACTTGTCAAAAGACCAAGTGACTTGAGACGTTGAGAACTCAGCTTAAATTGACATGTCCTTAAATGCCAAGGAGTTGAACAACCCTGATAAGGATAAAAATATAATCTCTCTTTGTTTTCTCCATTAATCTGAAATGGCACAAATATTTGGTGCCAAGGAAAATGCATAAAGAAAATAAACTATTAGCGGGCCGGCCTCACGGCTTAGCAGTTAAGTGCGTGCGCTCCGCTACTGGCGGCCCGGGTTTGGATCCCGGGCACGCACCGACACACTGCTTCTCCGGCCATGCTGAGGCCGCATCCCACATACAGCAACTAGAAGGATGTGCAGCTATGACATACAACTATCTACTGGGGCTTTGGGGAAAAAAAGAAAAGGAGGAGGATTGACAATAGATGTTAGCTCAGAGCCAGTCTTCCTCAGCAAAAAGAGGAGGATTAGCATGGATGTTAGCTCAGGGCTGACCTTCCTCACAAAAAATAAATAAATAAATAAATAAAATAAACTGTTAGAGAAATGATACTTATATCATGTAAAAAGTTACGTATTTACAGATTTTTACATAAGAAGATGAGTAAATCTTGGTACTTAAGGAGAATTCTAACTTACTATTAATAGGAGATATTATTTTAAGTGATGGTTAGAACAGAGTTGTTAATGGCAAGGGGCAGTTGCCTTCAATAAATAGTACTATTAGAGAAGACAATTTGATAAACCCACCCGACACAAAGAAAGCTGTAACATAAAACGTTGTTCTCTTAAGTAGCTTCTAATTTTATAAAACAGACTGGAAGCTCCTTAAAGAAATGGACTGAGAATGATGTTGGTGCTGTTGTTGTTTTTGTTATTATTAGTGTTTTAATTGTTTATCCATAGAGTCCACTACAGTGTATGACACATGGAAGGCACACACACAAAACAACTGTTGAAAGATCCACTAAAGCAGTGCTTAATACAAATGAAATATTAGGTTAAAATACAATGTCCAACATCAGTAGCAAGGCAGTGAATAGATAATTTGGAACACAAGGCATCCGTCATGTCTCAAGTAGGCTTGTGCTCACTTGATTTCTTAACAAGGCATTGATCTTATATTTGTTAACATTTGCACCCTTTCATAGGCGCTGTTGCTGATCACCCAGGCAGAGGGAGTATAGAGTTCTTCCAAGAAATTAAAAAACTAATAGGGAGAGAACTATGCGAAGAAATGCTTACCTAATCATTGCAGCTCATGACTTTCATAGTGGTCTTATCTGAAATAGTTTTAGACCATCAAGAATATACTCTTTTGTATTAAGTAGAAATTTAACTTCATTTTTCTTTGAAATGGATGGACAATTATGTCAATACCATCTCCAACAACTGATTTGAAATACCATCTGTGATGATCAGTTTTATGTGTCAACTTGGCTAGGTGGTGTTGTGAGGGTATTTTGTAGATGTGACTAACATCCATATTCAACTGATTTTAAGTGAGGGATATTGCCCTAGATAATCTGAGTGGGCCAGATCCAATCAGGTGAAAGGCATTAAGAACAGAGCTGAGGCTTCCCTGAAGAAGAAATTTCACCTGTAGACATTAGCTTCAGCTTGCGAGTTCCAGGCTTTCTTTCCTGATGGCCTGCCCTGTAGATTTTGGAATCGTGTAGCTAGCTGTCACAATCACTTAAGCCAATTCCTTGCAATAAATCTCCTATGGTTCTGTTTCTCTGGTTGAACTCTGACTGACAAACCATCTTATCATATGCAAGATTTTGATATATAAATGGAAATCTTTTTGAATGCCCTGCATTCTTTTCCATTCATTTGACTTTAAATCAAGCGGCTTTCATGTGCAGAATCTATCAATTTTTAATAGAAGTTAGTTAAAACATCTCACTATAAAGTAGATATGAAAATTTCTCCTTATAATTTTCCAAATTTTGATTTATATACTTTGGGCTCACTATCTGTCAGAATCATTCATTCAGTTTTGAGTAAAACAAAAGCCTACTAACAACTTAAAGTAAACATTAGAAATTCAATGACCATCCATTAAGTGTCCCCCCAGTGGGATCTCACCTGAACAGCCCAAGCTACTGAGGAGAATATTCCTTCCAACCATGTACAGTAGGAGACCTATTCATCTCATCCTCTCTATGACATCTGTAGTGAAGGTTTAACATGCAATATAGACTAGTGCCTAGGCCACTTTGAAAATCCTGCCAAATTTCCTTGGAATATTATAGTTGAGGTTAAAATTTTTTTATTTTGCGTTTTATTCTAGAATATAGCTGTGGAGTCTCTCTCACTACAGACATCTGGAAATTGTAGGTTAAGTATAAAAAACATTAAAATATATACATAAATTCCCAACATTAAAAGAGGTCTAAATGTCTAGTCAAATGGCATATCTAATACTATTTAGATGTACATCTAACAAAGTGGTCCTGTAAGTAAGGCAGGAACACCTTAGAATGAGAAATTCTCCAAGGGAGGGAACCCACTCCAACCATTTGCTTGTGAGGAGTTGCTTCCTTAGATTGGACTGAATCTGTTTTACCATAGTATATAAACGCTAGTTTTACACAGAGGGATAAAAAAATTAAATTCCTCTTTCAAAATATCTTTACCCAAGTCTTCTGATTCTAAATTCAATGCCTTCTGTACCAAGCCTTTACCAACGGAATTAAATCTGTGACCTTCTTCTACGTCTAGACAAGCATAGGATGCAGTGATAAGCAGAACCGGACATTTTGGCTTTCAGAGAGGCATTCTGGACATTCAGAATTCTAGGTCGCAAATGTTCCTGCTTCTTTGCTGTGAGGGGTACTTGGCTGGGCAAGTTTTAGATGTATTGAAAGCTCTTTTAATCTCAATTTCCCATATAAAGGAATTAGGAAATAATACTCACTTTTCCATCTTATAATGTTCTTTTGAGAATCAAATGACAAACTGCTTTTAAAATAGTTTATAAAATTAAGCATTTAATAGATGTAAATATAACTACCATTTGCAGATTACTTTCTGACGATTTTCAGATAGTCTATGATTTTGGCTCAGAATACATTATTACTCCCACTTCAGAGATAAGGATAATAAGGCTCAGAGAAAGTAAGCAAGAGTACTATGTGCTGCCTTAATTACAACCAGGACTGCTCTTAGGTGAAGACTCTGGGCTGTGTCTTGTCTCCTGCTGGGATCCTATAGACCATTCTCTTCAGAGACCAACCTGGCCTAGGCTGGGACCTAACAGGGACATCAGCAGCAAATGCAAAGCGCAAGGTATTTTCATCTATAATGATTACGTAAACCCAGAACTGAGCAGTGGACAGACAGGCAGGAAACAATTGATGATTCCATTTTTGACAGTAGATCAACCTAAGAGATCAATGAAACCTCAAATTCAGTATAAAGTAGAGTTAAGTTGTTCTCTTACTTAGAAAAAATGTTCGCCTGTTAGAAAGAGGAGGTATCTTCAGGAGTTAAACCAACAATCACCATGAACAAGCAATTTTTTGAGCCCCAACCAGATAGCTGATATCTAAAGATCTTTCAACACAGTATTTATTCATTTAGTCATTCATTGGAGGTAGGGTAGAGAGAAGCCTGTCTGTAATCAAAAGCTTTTTTGTGTGTGTATTTCTAAAAGTTGTTATCTGGGATGTCATTCCTGAGTTGGGCTGGTGGAAATATTAAATAGCATTTTAAAAATAAATTGGTAGGAAAACTTTAATTTAATCTCTTCTAGAGTTATTCAGCTCCAAAGCTGCTCTTCAATTTTTATTATCCAATAGATACCTCTTTCCGTCCTTGCATTACTCTACTATCTCTTTATCCACTCACGCAACCACACGTTCATAACATACGGTCAGCAACACGTTACCTACAGTTTAAGAGTTAAGAGTATAGGTTTTCAATTTAAGCAGAATTAGATTTGAAGTTTTACTCTAGCACTTATTAGATACGTGACCTTGAAGAATTTGCTAGCCCTCCCTCTACCTAAGTTTTCTCATCAATAAAATGGGGATATGTACATAAAAAATATTATGAAGATTAAATTTGAAAAAATATATAAAGGTATTTTTTCTTCTCATGGGGATTTTTTTCAGCTTTATTGAGGTACACCTAATATGCCAAACATTGCACATACTTAATACATAGATTTTGATGAATTTGAACATGTGCATGCCTCCATGATACCACCACCACAATCAAGGTAATAAATATATCCACTGCTTCCAAAAGATTTCACATCCTCTTGCTTTTTTTATAGT